GGTCCTACAGGAACTGTGGGTGGTGGGTTCTACGGGAGGTTCTTGGGGTGTGGGTCCTTCAGGAACTGTGGGTGGTGGGTTCTATGGGAGGTTCTTGGGGTGTGGGTCCTTCCAGGAGTCGTCGTTGGGTGGTGGGATCTCCAGGAACCGTGGGTGGTGGGTTCTACGGGAGGTTCTTGGGGTGGTGGGTCCTCCAGGAGTCGTCGTTGGGTGGTGGGTCTTCCAGGAACTGTGGGTGGTGGGTTCTAAGGGAGGTTATTGGGGTGTGGGTCCTCCAGGAACCGTGGGTGGTGGGTTCTACGGGAGGTTCTTGGGGTGTGGGTCCTTCAGGAACTGTGGGTGGTGGGTTCTATGGGAGGTTCTTGGGGTGTGGGTCCTTCCAGGAGTCGTCGTTGGGTGGTGGGATCTCCAGGAACCATGGGTGGTGGGTTCTACGGGAGGTTTTTGGGACGTGGGTCCTTCCAGGAGATGAGGTTGGGTGGTGGGATCTCCAGGAACTGTGGGTGGTGGGTTCTACAGGAGGGTCTTGGGGGGTGGGTCCTTCAGGAACCGTGGGTGGTGGGTTCTACGGGAGGTTCTTGGGGGGTGGGTCCTTCAGGAACCGTGGGTGGGGGGTTCTCCAGGAGGTTCTTGGGACGTGGGTCCTTCCAGGAGATGAGGGTGGGTGGTGGGATCTCCAGGAACTGTGGGTGGTGGGTTCTACAGGAGGGTCTTGGGGGGTGGGTCCTTCAGGAACCGTGGGTGGGGGGTTCTCCAGGAGGTTCTTGGGACGTGGGTCCTTCCAGGAGATGAGGGTGGGTGGTGGGATCTCCAGGAACTGTGGGTGGTGGGTTCTACAGGAGGGTCTTGGGGGGTGGGTCCTTCAGGAACCGTGGGTGGGGGGTTCTCCAGGAGGTTCTTGGGACGTGGGTCCTTCCAGGAGATGAGGGTGGGTGGTGGGATCTCCAGGAACTGTGGGTGGTGGGTTCTACAGGAGGGTCTTGGGGGGTGGGTCCTTCAGGAACCGTGGGTGGTGGGTTCTCCAGGAGGTTCTTGGGTTGTGGGTCCTCCAGGAGGTCCTTGGGGTCTGGGTCCTCCAGGAACCATTGATGGTCATTGGGTGATGGGTCCTCCAGGAGGTTCTTGGGTCGTGGGTCCTCCAGGAACCATGGGATGGTGGTGGGTCCTCCAGGAACCATTGATGGTCGTTGGGTGGTGGGTTCTCCAGGAGGTTCTTGGAGGTCCCCTGACCAGCCTGGTCACCCTCTCTCCCCACCCCAGGGCCATGCGTCGTCCCCGCTGTGGTGTCCCCGACAAGTTCGGGGCGGAGATCAAGGCCAACGTGCGCCGCCGCCGCTACGCCATCCAGGGCATGAAGTGGGAGAACCAGGAGATCACCTTCTGGTGAGGACACGGTGGGGGCCGGGGCCGGTGTCGGGGGGACAACACCAGGAGAACCTCACCTGGTGAGGTCATGGAGGTGGTGGCACCCATGGGAGTGGTGGGAGAAGGTCCCCTGGTGAGACCACGGTGGTGGAACCCATGGTTTTATGGGGGAGAACATCACCTGGTGAGGTCACGGTGGTGGTGGCACCAGGAGAATGTCACCTGGTGTGACCATGGTGGTGGTGGCACCAGGAGAACGTCACTTGAGGACGCCACGATGGTGGCACCCATGGTTTTATGGGGGGAGAAGGTCACCTGGTGAGGCCACGGTGGTGGTGGCACCATGGAGAACCTCACCTGATGAGGCCATGGTGGTGGTGGCACCAGGAGAACATCATCTGGTGAGGTCACAGTGGTGACACCCATGGTTTTATGGGGGGAGAACGTCACGTGGTGGTGTCACCCATGGGTTTATGGGGGGAGAACGTCACGTGGTGGTGTCACCCATGGTTTTATGGGGGGAGAAGGTCACCTGGTGAGGCCACGGTGGTGGTGGCACCAGGAGAACGTCACTTGAGGACACCACGGTGGTGGCACCCATGGTTTTATGGGGGAGAACATCACCTGGTGAGGCCACGGTGGTGGTGGCACCAGGAGAACGTCACCTGGTGAGACTTTGGTGGTGGTGGCACCAGGAGAAGGTCACTTGAGGAGGCCATGGTGGTGGCACCCATGGTTTTATGGGGGGAGAACGTCACCTGGTGAGGCCATGGTGGTGGTGGCACCAGGAGAACGTCACCTGATGAGACTTTGGTGGTGGCACCCATGGTTTTATGGGGGGAGAATGTCACCTGGTGAGGCCACGATGGTGGTGGCACCAGGAGAACGTCACTTGAGGACACCACGGTGGTGGCACCCATGGTTCTATGGGGGAGAACGTCACGTGGTGGTGGCACCCATGGGTTTATGGGGGGAGAAGGTCACCTGGTGAGGCCACGGTGGTGGTGGCACCATGGAGAACCTCACCTGATGAGGCCATGGTGGTGGTGGCACCAGGAGAACATCATCTGGTGAGGTCACGGTGGTGTCACCCATGGTTTTATGGGGGAGAACGTCACGTGGTGGTGTCACCCATGGGTTTATGGGGGGAGAAGGTCACCTGGTGAGGCCACGGTGGTGGTGGCACCAGGAGAACGTCACCTGATGAGGCCATGGTGGTGGTGGCACCAGGAGAACATCATCTGGTGAGGTTACGGTGGTGTCACCCATGGTTCTATGGGGCAGAACATCACCTGGTGGTGCCACCCACGGTTCTCTGAGGAACCTGTGGAGAACCTGACCCTCCTCTTCCTCCCTCTCCAGCATCCAGAACTACACCCCCAAGGTGGGGGAGGCCGGGACCTTCGGGGCCATCCGTCGGGCCTTCTCCGTCTGGGCGGCGGCCGCCCCTTTGCGCTTCCGGGAGGTCCCCTACGGGGAGGTCCGTCAAGGCCGTGCCCCCCAAGCGGACATCATGATCTTCTTCGCCGAGGGCTTCCACGGGGACAGCACCCCCTTCGACGGGGAAGGGGGCTTCCTGGCCCACGCCTACTTCCCCGGGCCCCACATCGGTGGGGACACCCACTTCGACGGGGCCGAGCCTTGGACGGCCCGCAACGATGACCTCAGCGGTGAGGGGGTCCACCAAAGGGGAGGGGAGGTGGTCTCCACCCAAGAAAGTGGGTCTTCTGGGGCCCAATGAGGGCCTCGTCCCCATTTAGGGTCTTCCTTGACCAAACCATGGCCATGGAGATGTCCTCAACCCAACTTAGGGCCTCCTTTGACCCACTTTGGGGTCTTCCTTGACCAAATCATGGCCATGGAGATGCCCTCAACCCAACTTAGGGCCATTCTTGACCCAATTTAAGGTCCTCCTTGGCCCAATCATGGCCATGGAGATGTCCTCAACCCACTTTAGATCTTTCTTTGACCCAATCGTGGCCATGGAGATGTCCTCAACCCAACTTAGGTCCTTCTTTGACCCAGTTTAGGTCCTTCCTTGACCCAATCATGGCCATGGAGATGTCCTCAACTCAATTTAGGTCCTTCTTTGACCCAACCGTGGCCATGGAGATGTTCTTGACCCAGTTTAGATCCTTCTTTGACCCAGTCATGGCCATGGAGGTGTCCTCAACCCAGTTTAGGTCCTTCTTTGACCCAATTTAGGTCCCTTCTTGGTCCAGTCATGGCCATGGAGACATCCTTGACCCAGTTTAGGTCCTTCTTTGACCCAATCATGGCCATGGAGATGTCCTCGACACAGTTTAGATCCTTCTTTGACCCAATTGTGGCCATGGAGATGTCCTTGACCCAGTTTAGGTCCTTCTTTGACCCAATTTAGGTGCCTCCTTGGTCCAATCATGGCCATGGAGACATCCTCGACCCAGTTTAGGTCCTTCTTTGACCCAATCATGGCCATGGAGGTGTCCTCGACCCAATTTAGATCCTTCTTTGACCCAATCGTGGCCATGGAGATGTCCTCAACCCAACTTAGGGCCTCCCTTGACCCAATTTAAGGTCCTCCTTGGCCCAATCATGGCCATGGAGACGTCCTTGACCCAGTTTAGGTCCTTCTTTGACCCAATTTAGGTCCTTCTTTGACCCAATCATGGCCATGGAGATGTCCTCAACCCAACTTAGGGCCGTTCTTGACCCAATTTAGGGTCCTCCTTGGCCCAATCATGGCCATGGAGATGTCCTCAACCCAACTTATGTCCTTCCTTGGCCCAATCATGGCCATGGAGACGTCCTTGACCCAGTTTAGATACTTCTTTGACCCAATCATGGCCATGGAGATGCCCTCAACCCAACTTAGGGCCATTCTTGACCCAATTTAGGGTCCTCCTTGGTCCAATCATGGCCATGGAGACGTCCTTGACCCAGTTTAGGTCCTTCTTTGACCCAATCATGGCCATGGAGATGTCCTCAACCCAACTTAGGGCCTCCTTTGACCCAATTTAGGGTCCTCCTTGGTCCAGTCATGGCCATGGAGATGTCCTCGATCCAGTTTAGGTCCTTCGTTGACCCAATTTAGGTCCCATCTTGGTCTAGTCATGGCCATGGAGATGTCCTCGACCCAGTTTAGGTCCTTCTTTGACCCAATTTAGGGTCCTCCTTGGTCCAATCATGGCCATGGAGATGTCCTCAACCCAACTTAGGGCCATTCTTGACCCAATTTAAGGTCCTCCTTGGTCCAGTCATGGCCATGGAGATGTCCTCGACCCAGTTTAGGTCCTTCTTTGACCCAATTTAGGTGTCTCCTTGGCCCAATCTTGGCCATGGAGATGTCCTTGACCCAGTTTAGGTCCTTCTTTGACCCAATTTAGGTGCCTCCTTGGTCCAATCATGGCCATGGAGACATCCTCGACCCAGTTTAGGTCCTTCTTTGACCCAATCATGGCCATGGAGGTGTCCTCGACCCAATTTAGATCCTTCTTTGACCCAATCGTGGCCATGGAGATGTCCTCAACCCAACTTAGGGCCTCCCTTGACCCAATTTAAGGTCCTCCTTGGCCCAATCATGGCCATGGAGACGTCCTTGACCCAGTTTAGGTCCTTCTTTGACCCAATTTAGGTCCTTCTTTGACCCAATCATGGCCATGGAGATGTCCTCAACCCAACTTAGGGCCGTTCTTGACCCAATTTAGGGTCCTCCTTGGCCCAATCATGGCCATGGAGATGTCCTCAACCCAACTTATGTCCTTCCTTGGCCCAATCATGGCCATGGAGACGTCCTTGACCCAGTTTAGATACTTCTTTGACCCAATCATGGCCATGGAGATGCCCTCAACCCAACTTAGGGCCATTCTTGACCCAATTTAGGGTCCTCCTTGGTCCAATCATGGCCATGGAGACGTCCTTGACCCAGTTTAGGTCCTTCTTTGACCCAATCATGGCCATGGAGATGTCCTCAACCCAACTTAGGGCCTCCTTTGACCCAATTTAGGGTCCTCCTTGGTCCAGTCATGGCCATGGAGATGTCCTCGATCCAGTTTAGGTCCTTCGTTGACCCAATTTAGGTCCCATCTTGGTCTAGTCATGGCCATGGAGATGTCCTCGACCCAGTTTAGGTCCTTCTTTGACCCAATTTAGGGTCCTCCTTGGTCCAGTCATGGCCATGGAGATGTCCTCAACCCAACTTAGGGCCATTCTTGACCCAATTTAAGGTCCTCCTTGGTCCAATCATGGCCATGGAGCTGTCCTTGACCCAGTTTAGGTCCTTCTTTGACCCAATCGTGGCCATGGAGATGCCCTCAACCCAGTTTAGGTCCTTCTTTGACCCAATTTAGGTGTCTCCTTGGTCCAATCTTGGCCATGGAGATGTCCTTGACCCAGTTTAGGTCCTTCTTTGACCCAATTTAGGTGCCTCCTTGGTCCAATCATGGCCATGGAGACATCCTCGACCCAGTTTAGGTCCTTCTTTGACCCAATCATGGCCATGGAGGTGTCCTCGACCCAATTTAGATCCTTCTTTGACCCAATCGTGGCCATGGAGATGCCCTCTGGGTTCTCCAGGAGGTTCTTGGAGGTCCCCTGACCAGCCTGGTCACCCTCTCTCCCCACCCCAGGGCCATGCGTCGTCCCCGCTGTGGTGTCCCCGACAAGTTCGGGGCGGAGATCAAGGCCAACGTGCGCCGCCGCCGCTACGCCATCCAGGGCATGAAGTGGGAGAACCAGGAGATCACCTTCTGGTGAGGACACGGTGGGGGCCGGGGCCGGTGTCGGGGGGACAACACCAGGAGAACCTCACCTGGTGAGGTCATGGAGGTGGTGGCACCCATGGGAGTGGTGGGAGAAGGTCCCCTGGTGAGACCACGGTGGTGGAACCCATGGTTTTATGGGGGAGAACATCACCTGGTGAGGTCACGGTGGTGGTGGCACCAGGAGAATGTCACCTGGTGTGACCATGGTGGTGGTGGCACCAGGAGAACGTCACTTGAGGACGCCAGGTTCTTGGGGTGTGGGTCCTTCCAGGAGTCATCGTTGGGTGGTGGTTCCTCCAGGAACCGTGGTTGGTGGGTTCTCCAGGAGGTTCTTGGGGTGTGGGTCCTCCAGAAGCTGTGGGGTGGTGGCACCAGGAGAACATCATCTGGTGAGGTCACAGTGGTGACACCCATGGTTTTATGGGGGGAGAACGTCACGTGGTGGTGTCACCCATGGGTTTATGGGGGGAGAACGTCACGTGGTGGTGTCACCCATGGGTTTATGGGGGGAGAACGTCACGTGGTGGTGTCACCCATGGGTTTATGGGGGGAGAACGTCACGTGGTGGTGTCACCCATGGGTTTATGGGGGGAGAACGTCACGTGGTGGTGTCACCCATGGGTTTATGGGGGGAGAACGTCACGTGGTGGTGTCACCCATGGGTTTATGGGGGGAGAACGTCACGTGGTGGTGTCACCCATGGGTTTATGGGGGGAGAACATCACCTGGTGGTGTCACCCATGGTTTTATGGGGGGAGAATGTCACCTGGTGAGGCCACGATGGTGGTGGCACCAGGAGAACGTCACTTGAGGAGGCCATGGTGGTGGCACCCATGGTTTTATGGGGGGAGAACATCACCTGGTGTGACCGTGGTGGTGGTGGCACCAGGAGAACGTCACTTGAGGAGGCCATGGTGGTGGCACCCATGGTTTTATGGGGGGAGAATGTCACCTGGTGAGGCCACGATGGTGGTGGCACCAGGAGAACGTCACTTGAGGACACCACGGTGGTGGCACCCATGGTTCTATGGGGGAGAACGTCACGTGGTGGTGGCACCCATGGGTTTATGGGGGGAGAAGGTCACCTGGTGAGGCCATGGTGGTGGTGGCACCAGGAGAACGTCACCTGATGAGACTTTGGTGGGGGCACCCATGGTTTTATGGGGGGAGAACGTCACCTGGTGAGGTCATGGAGGTGGTGGCACTCATGGGAGGGTGGGAGAAGGTCCCCTGGTGAGACTTTGGTGGTGGTGGCACCAGGAGAACGTCACTTGAGGACACCACGGTGGTGACACCCATGGTTTTATGGGGGGAGAACATCACCTGGTGAGGCCATGGTGGTGGTGGCACCAGGAGAACGTCACCTGATGAGACTTTGGTGGTGGCACCCATGGTTTTATGGGGGGAGAACGTCACCTGGTGAGGCCATGGTGGTGGTGGCACCAGGAGAACATCATCTGGTGAGGTCACGGTGGTGTCACCCATGGTTTTATGGGGGGCAGAACATCACGTGGTGGTGTCACCCATGGTTCTATGGGGCGTGGCACCAGGAGAACATCATCTGGTGAGGTTACGGTGGTGTCACCCATGGTTCTATGGGGGAGAACATCACCTGGTGGTGCCACCCACGGTTCTCTGAGGAACCTGTGGAGAACCTGACCCTCCTCTTCCTCCCTCTCCAGCATCCAGAACTACACCCCCAAGGTGGGGGAGGCCGGGACCTTCGGGGCCATCCGTCGGGCCTTCTCCGTCTGGGCGGCGGCCGCCCCTTTGCGCTTCCGGGAGGTCCCCTACGGGGAGGTCCGTCAAGGCCGTGCCCCCCAAGCGGACATCATGATCTTCTTCGCCGAGGGCTTCCACGGGGACAGCACCCCCTTCGACGGGGAAGGGGGCTTCCTGGCCCACGCCTACTTCCCCGGGCCCCACATCGGTGGGGACACCCACTTCGACGGGGCCGAGCCTTGGACGGCCCGCAACGATGACCTCAGCGGTGAGGGGGTCCACCAAAGGGGAGGGGAGGTGGTCTCCACCCAAGAAAGTGGGTCTTCTGGGGCCCAATGAGGGCCTCGTCCCCATTTAGGGTCTTCCTTGACCAAACCATGGCCATGGAGATGTCCTCAACCCAACTTAGGGCCTCCTTTGACCCACTTTGGGGTCTTCCTTGACCAAATCATGGCCATGGAGATGCCCTCAACCCAACTTAGGGCCATTCTTGACCCAATTTAAGGTCCTCCTTGGCCCAATCATGGCCATGGAGATGTCCTCAACCCACTTTAGATCTTTCTTTGACCCAATCGTGGCCATGGAGATGTCCTCAACCCAACTTAGGTCCTTCTTTGACCCAGTTTAGGTCCTTCCTTGACCCAATCATGGCCATGGAGATGTCCTCAACCCAACTTAGGTCCTTCTTTGACCCAGTTTAGGTCCTTCCTTGACCCAATCATGGCCATGGAGATGTCCTCAACTCAATTTAGGTCCTTCTTTGACCCAACCGTGGCCATGGAGATGTTAATCGTGGCCATGGAGATGCCCTCAACCCAACTTAGGGCCATTCTTGACCCAATTTAAGGTCCTCCTTGGTCCAATCATGGCCATGGAGACGTCCTCGACCCAGTTTAGGTCCTTCTTTGACCCAATCGTGGCCATGAAGATGTCCTCAACCCAACTTAGGTCCCTCCTTGACCCAATTTAGGGTCCTCCTTGGCCCAATCATGGCCATGGAGATGTCCTTGACCCAGTTTAGATCCTTCTTTGACCCAATCATGGCCATGGAGATGCCCTCGACCCAGTTTAGGGCCTCCTTTGACCCAATTTAGGGTCCTCCTTGGCCCAATCATGGCCATGGAGATGTCCTTGACCCAGTTTAGATCCTTCTTTGACCCAATCATGGCCATGGAGATGTCCTCAACCCAACTTAGGGCCTCCTTTGACCCAATTTAGGGTCCTCCTTGGTCCAGTCATGGCCATGGAGATGTCCTCGACCCAGTTTAGGTCCTTCTTTGACCCAGTTTAGGTCCCTCCTTGACCCAATCGTGGCCATGGAGATGTCCTCAACCCAGTTTAGGTCCTTCTTTGACCCAATCGTGGCCATGGAGATGTCCTCGACCCAGTTTAGGTCCTTCTTTGACCCAATTTAAGGTCCTCCTTGGTCCAACCATGGCCATGGAGATGTCCTCGACCCAACTTAGGGCCATTCTTGACCCAATTTAGGGTCCTCCTTGGTCCAATCATGGCCATGGAGACGTCCTCAACCCAGTTTAGGTCCTTCTTTGACCCAGTCATGGCCATGGAGATGTCCTCAACCCAACTTAGGTCCTCCTTTGACCCAATTTAGGTCCCTTCTTGGTCCAATGATGACCATTTGGGGACACCAGCTCTTCCTCCTTCTTACTGTGACCCCCCTGACCCCGTGTCTCCTCCTCCTCCTCCGTAGGCAACGACCTCTTCCTGGTGGCCGTCCACGAGCTGGGCCACGCGCTGGGGCTGGAACACTCCAGCGACCCCTCGGCCATCATGGCCCCCTTCTACCAGTGGATGGACACCGAGGCCTTCGTCCTCCCCGACGACGACCGCCGGGGCATCCAGCAGCTCTACGGTAGGGCCACCACCCCCAACCCCCTCTAGATACCCTCAACCCCCCCCTAGATACCCTCAACCCCCCTTAGATACCCCCAAACTTCTTTGAGCCAATCATGGCCATGGAGATGCCCTCAACCCAACTTAGGGCCATTCTTGACCCAATTTAAGGTCCTCCTTGGTCCAATCATGGCCATGGAGACGTCCTTGACCCAGTTTAGGTCCTTCTTTGACCCAATCATGGCCATGGAGATGTCCTCAACCCAACTTAGGGCCTCCTTTGACCCAATTTAGGGTCCTCCTTGGTCCAGTCATGGCCATGGAGATGTCCTCGATCCAGTTTAGGTCCTTCGTTGACCCAATTTAGGTCCCATCTTGGTCTAGTCATGGCCATGGAGATGTCCTCGACCCAGTTTAGGTCCTTCTTTGACCCAATTTAGGGTCCTCCTTGGTCCAGTCATGGCCATGGAGATGTCCTCAACCCAACTTAGGGCCATTCTTGACCCAATTTAAGGTCCTCCTTGGTCCAATCATGGCCATGGAGCTGTCCTTGACCCAGTTTAGGTCCTTCTTTGACCCAATCGTGGCCATGGAGATGCCCTCAACCCAGTTTAGGTCCTTCTTTGACCCAATTTAGGTGTCTCCTTGGTCCAATCTTGGCCATGGAGATGTCCTTGACCCAGTTTAGGTCCTTCTTTGACCCAATTTAGGTGCCTCCTTGGTCCAATCATGGCCATGGAGACATCCTCGACCCAGTTTAGGTCCTTCTTTGACCCAAT